CTGAGGCCCAGAGGTCAAAAGACTTCCTCAAGCTCATGCTAGCAGGTTTGATTTCTAGTCCAGGATTCTTTCTGTTGCCCCACCTTCCATTCATATCTGTCCTTTACTCAAAACGTCACAGAAGCCCAATTGAGGACTAACTCTGTGCCCCCAAGTCTCTATTAGAACCAGGTAACACACCCCTAAATAACTACAGCCTCCACCTACCTTGGGGAAGGGCCCATCAGAGAGGGGGGAGCAGCCCGAACCACGTGGCAGGAGCCTGCCGGCCCAGGGCAGACCCAGCTCATTTTCAATCTGGTCATAAAGAGGAAGATGGGGGGAGGACGCGGGCAGGAATCTTTATGTGTTACTGTCACAGTGCCTGTTGGGGACCTTATATTCTTTTTCTACCCTATCAGTAATGTGGGATTGGTTTTTTTTTTTTTTTAACATTCTTTTAAATTTTCTTTCCTGAGAATTCAGTGTCCTTGACCTCCACAAATGAACTGAGAACCCTGAACCAGGGGAAATAAACCAAGCAAACTTCTCAGGAATATAAATGCTGCTGAGGCAATGACCCTATTGGCAGATGCCACACGACGGGCAAGAAAGGCCCGGTAAAGGAAATCTATAGATATACACGAAGAACAAAAGTGAGATAAGGCATACTCACTCTGCATCTACATGGTTCCTCTCCTCTCCCGACAAAGAGCAGGTAATGAGGACGCCGTCAATAGAGCTGTCGGACAAATTGAATATATACAAATCAGTGGGGCGATATGGATCCCCTGGACTTAAGAGAGAATTAGTTAATGAACTTACCAAATTACTGGCAATTGTTTTTGAAATGTTATGAAGAAAGAGAAAGTAAAAAAAGATGGAAAGAAAATGAGGTAGACAAGCTTTATGAAAAAAAAAAGAATGACTAAGGCAAGCTCAATTTAATTCCTAGCACATCCGCCCCCAATACACAAGCACATACATAAATTTAAAAAGTAAAAACACGAACTCAGATGCAGAAAACAAGGTTGAATCACTTTGGACAAGGCTCGCTGCTTGTATTTGCCTTTATTAAATGCAAGTACCCAGGACAGCACCTTCAGGGTGTCACCAGAGGGGCAGCCAGCCGCCCTGGCATAAAACCCACACCTCTGCACCCGCAGCCTCTGGCTTCTCTGGGACATCCTTCACCTCTGCTGTCTGTAAAGTGTTGCTGAGACACGTGGCTACCTCACTTGTGAGGCTGGCCCAGGGAGACATGGATCTTGGCATCCACACATTCCATATACAGAGTGACTGCTGTGTCCTGGGGAATGTTCTACGGTTTATGACGAATGTCACGTTTGAATTCATTCCGAACCTCAAACTCAGCTCCCTTTGGATGAAACAGTAAGAGGTAAAGAGGCAGTAATCTTAGAGAGGTCTTAGCAATGCATGTGGAGACCAGGGAACTCAGCCTCTAAAGAGAACTGTTTTTCTAAACTGGAGATGCAGAGTCTGTTGGCGAACTGGCTGGAGCTGGCTTGTCCCGGTGTTCTGTTGGCGCTCAGGGTTTCCAAATGATGTTCAATAAGGGGTCTTGGATGGTGACCCTGAAGAGAAGGGCTACACACCAAAAACGGTACAGGGCAGCTGGCAGGAATGCAAACTCACACAAGGCAAGGAAAACCCACCTGAGAGATCCCCAGGATGAAGCCATTGAAAGTGGCAAGAGCATGAAAACCAGAGCGGAGTGGAGAGCAAATTACATGCGATCTAGCCAGAAAAAAGATATGGGGCCGGGGAGGGAGATGATGGTGTCACTTTCTATTTATCCACCATCTTTCACTGGAGCATCTCAAAGCACATTACAGACAGCAGCTCTTTAATCCTCCCAGAGGAGGAGGCTGAGTTGAAGGGTTCCCTGGGGAGCAAGAAATAAACCCCAGGCTCAGACCCCAGGGCCAATCTCCTCTCTGCCTCTCAAAACCCTCTGTTGCAGACGGCCCAGCCTAAGGCAAGTGAGAGGGAACAACGGCCCCGAAGCCAGCCCCCATACGTACCCAGAGCCTTCCAAATCTCTGGACTTTTTCACTTGGTTCACTTTACTCCTAAAAATAGATGCCAAGAAAAAAGCAGTAATTTCCAAAGACAATGAACGAGCTCTATGCACAAATATTTTCCTGTAACATTATTCAAATAGCAAATAATTAACTATTTAAATGTTCAACAACAGGGGATTTGGTTAAGTACTAACGATACATGCCCCAAATGAAATTATTAGTTAGCAATTAAAATACATGATATCTGCAAAAACATGGAAATAATCTTTTACTGTACTATTAATATTAAAATGCAGAATACTGTGTAGCACTGGTTCTCAACTGCTGGTATCTGTGTCAAGTGGAGGGGGAGATGGTAGGTATGGCTGCATGGGTACTTTGTAAGTAAACAATTTCAAAGAGTCCAAAAGGAAAAACCAAGTCTCTCACCCCAACTCCTTCCCGGCCCCTCTCCCCAGGACAGGAGATGGGGCTACGTGATATCATTGCTCCTATACCAAGAAGCGAGTGATGGAGTATTAAAATGTTAATAATGAGAAATGGATATTTCTGGGTGAAGGGATTACAGCCGAGTCTTATTTTTATTTGTTCTTTCTACTTTTCTGTAACTAATTTTTTGTGTGTGTGTGAGGAAGATCAGCCCTGAGCTAACATCTGTCACCAATCCTCCTCTTTTTGCTGAGGAAGACTGGCCCTGGGCTAACATCCATGCCCATCTTCCTCTGCTTTACATGGGACGCTGCCACAGCATGGCTTGACAAGTGGTGCGTCGGTCCGCGCCCGGGATCCAACCTGGGAACCCCGGGCCACTGCAGCAGAGCAGCACCACCAGGCTGGCCCCCTGTAATTAATTTTTAACATAAAATAAACTAAGACAAGAAAGCAGCTTATCTTCTCCATCCTGCAGCGAGAGGCCCACTGCCTGCTTCCCAGCTCCTCTCTGGGGCAAACCTAGACCGGGCAGGCACTCCCGCGTCTCCATTGTGGCCGGCTCGCTGCCTCGCCGCACGGGAGAGGCGAGGTCTTCAAGGTCAGCGGTGTGCGAGTGTCGTGTGTGAAGTCATCAGCTGGGCAAGAAGAAAATAAGCAAACTCCACACAAAAGGAGGAATGCTTCAGTCAACACTGAAAAAGGGCTCTGGATGGAAACTCTCAATAACAGTTCTCAACTCATTTAAAAATCAGCATTAGCTACCAAAATGTAAAGTATTAGTTTTATTAAAATGCAAATCAATCAACTAATCTGTCTTTCTAGTAACAGTTGAATTACAGTATCCGTGTCAATTAAAATACTTTCCAATTTATTCTTGGCTGGAAGGAGGGTGGTCTTCTGAATTTTAAAATGCAAGCCTCCCTTTACTGAAAATTGTCTGTTCCTTCTCATCTCTCCTGATTTTAATTCATTTATTTAAACATGTTGGACTCCAAATATTTTGAAGTACCTGTTTAAATCTTTTTCTTCATCAGATAAAGAGTGACTCTGACAAAGGTTCTATCTCTTCAGGAAACAAGGGTTAGCATCAGGCCCACTGGAAGTTCCATATGGAGAGATTACCTACTTGCTGTTCTAACGTACATTATCCAAACCCTCAGGCTAGATGGACAGGATTGGATGTTCTCTATTTTAACAAGTGATCATTTTGAAGGGAATGAATGTGGGGAACTCTCCTATTTCTGTTGATTGGTTTAGGTAACTGGAGACACACTGAAAATTAAACATTTCCCTGACAGTTGAGCCCAAGAGGTAACCACTGAGACAAGAAAAACAAATCACCATGTACCAAGGTCCAATTAATGTGAGGTGGAGAAACCCTCCTCCCCGTATGTGCCCCGCCCTGCACTCACAGACACACTGATGTTAGCACTAGACTGTGCTGCACGTTACATTCAGGACTCCCTTCGTCTGCAGCCCAGGCTTCAGGCACCAGGCCGCAGTCCCCAGACACCAAGTCAATGATACGTGGGACTCCTGGGCACAAAATCTGTCACTTGGTTTTGACATTTTAAAATAATATCAAAATCTGACTTTAAAAACAATGACTAGATATTAACTACAACTGCACTCAGTTGCCTGGATGCAACGTTTCTTCTCCAATCTCATAGCCCTAAAAAAGGTTTGGGCAAAGGACCTAGGAGGTGGTCAGTCTCCTATGCTGGTGCGCACGCATTACTTATGCAAGATAATCTCCATTGCATATTGACCACAGCAGGCCAATAAATCCCCCTTATGGGGATTTAATTTCCAGCTTTTGACCTTTGGATGAAAAACAAGTGAATCATTTCCTCCTGCTAGATTTACACCAGAGCTAATCTCAATAAAGTGATTCAGGAATGGTGAGAAGAGAAAAGGACTCTGGGAAGTATCTTCATGGGTGAAAACAGGAAACAAAAAAGAAGTCAGAGATTTGTACCTAGCAACAAAGAGGCAAATACCACCAAGTTACAGAGTCTCCTGGGCAGAGCTTATAGGTTTTCTGGGATCCCTGCTCCTCAGAGCCACGACCAATCACTAAACATTATCCCCCCAGAAAGCAGCACACCAGTGGCCCCAGAATTGTTCCTTCTGTGAAGTCTGATATTGGAAGAGGAGACCATTTGGCTAGAAAAAAATGAAAACCCTCCCAACAAACCTGTCAGCCTCCTAGAGCTCTAGATCAGATTTACACCGTGCTGCTTAAGAAATCACACGCGGCGGCGGCACAGTAACAGTACTCTTTATTTGTGATGGTTGAGAAACACAGGGGACGGGCCCTTGGCGCACGGAAGCACCGGAGACACGACACTTGATTCCAGGCTTCCTGGGCTTTAGTAGGCACATGTTCTGAACAGCAGGTCTTCCCAGGGATTTCCCGACTCGCTCAACCCCATAGGCCAACAGGCTCATCCATTCCAGGCAGGAGCAGCAGCCAACCAGGCCAGGGTGTCATCGGGTGTCCCGAGGGCCTGCCTCAAGGGCTCGCAACAGCAGAGACTCTCGGTCAGTTCCTATGACCTTCCTCAGGGGGGTTGAGTTGGCCAAAAAGTGATCGATACAACTCTGTCCTAGAAGACAAACAAAAGACATTGGTTAACACACTGGTTAACTTTTCAAGGTTAAAAAAGAACTAAGGAGCTGGGAAATACCCTAATCTGTGTCTTCAATTGAAAACACAGCCATGTAATTAAAAATGCATCCTGCAGCTCGTATTCACAAATATAAAGGAAGGATGAAACCAAGAAGCAGCCAGTCAAATAGTAAGATATGTAAACAGTCCAGTGTGGCTGGATACCCTGTGTCTAGGGAATGAGTTTTCTGTAAGTTTGCCCTTTACAGACAGGCTCTTCATGTAAGAAAACAAGATTGAATATTTTAATAGGATGTATGAGACTGCCACACGATGAGGAGGATTCAATCAGACATGGGATGGAGGGGATATAATTTAGTTTTCATACATTTTCTTGGACTTGGCAGTACTTGACAAACAATGAAAATGACCCAGCAACAAGAGTCCAATTACTATCACACATGCAGCTGTTCAGTCGTGAACCACGGTTCTTCCCACTCCCCTGGCTCCTTTTCTCTAGTCTCAATCTAATAATTTGATTAGCTAATTTATTTCTAAAGTTAGATTTTGACGTTAAAAAAAATCGTAACACGCCAGGGTCTGGGTCCTTAAAAATAAAGTTAATTATCACTTCCGACCTCTGTTTCTGCTATCAGATGCAACATATACACAACCACCTGGCCAAAGTCACCTGTCAAGGCCCGGAAAACCTATAAAGGGGTGGCATGGGGAAGGATACTTCCCATCATTGTGACAGAAGCTCCGGACCCTGTGCATAGAGAACAGAGTCTCCCTGCAGAGATATGAGGAGCCACGAGGGTCCAAGCAGGTCAAACCCACTAGGGAGGTTGGGCCATGGAGGACACACAGCCAACTGAGGCAGATGGTCCGTGGCTGCGCTCTGCGTGAAGGTCCAACCACCAACCCTCAGGGAAGGAGGGTGGGCACACACAGGCTAAGGTCATGGGCCAGCGAGTAAATGACCCCAGAAGAAAGCTGTGCCTGTTCTGTTCCATATTTTCAAGATCTAACCATAAAATATAGCCTGCTGTCCTTGTTAAGAAAACTGGCTTTTAAAAGTGCTCTCATTATCAGCAAATCTGACTTTCAAAACAAACAAAAAGCAACCAACCAACCAAAACCCACCATTCAAACAGCTGTTTTGCTTCGGCAAGACTTCCACACAAAAACGCATTAGTCTGTTTTTGAAGTCACCCTGCTACAGTTGTGGGTAGGAAGAGAGGTGCTAGAATTAGAACACCCAGCACTAGGAACAGCATATTACAACTTTTTAAAAAGGAAAAGCCTTAAAGAGGAAACTGCAGAAGCCAAGAATGTAAACTAACCTTGTCATGCTGGGGACCCCAGGGCAGGCAGGGACAGTGCAGGCCAGAAAACAGAGGGTCTCCAGATTATTACAAGAATTCTATCGCAAGGATTTGCCGGTACCCCCAGCCAGAACTACCGACCAGCCCCTGGGCCTACAGACAAAGGAGGCAGGTTCACCCTGAGCTCCATCTTCCCTTTTGTTCCTCTGCTCTAGATGCCCGCCTGACTCGCCCTCGGCCCAGACTGGAGTACAAAGGTGGGAGGCAGCTTCAGACCAGATGCAAATGAGAGGCTGGAGCCTCGCTTCGAAAGCACCAGCTCCATCACATGCAAGACAGCAATGCCCTGCCCAGGTTTCACTCCATCATGCCGTGGCCTGCCTATCTGCCAATAACTACAAGTCTCTCCAGCCATTTCAACAAAAAAATTAAATGGCATTAAGGGGAGAGTCGCCGTGACAAAAAGGACAGTATGACTTTAAGGCTGCACTGTCTGATGAGAGGGAGATGCGCAAGCACGATGCTATTTAGCCCCTTGCAATCATACCCTTTCCAAGCTCGCCTTGCTTGCCTGCACCAGACCCCGTCATTACCACTGAGCAAATGCTTCCACTCGGCGCTGCACTATCAGCGAAACGCCGGGGCCAGGGCAGCAGTTACTGTCCGCAGCAGGGTCCACGTGTCAGGAGCGGAGTGAAATGCTGAAACCCATGTTTCGATAGAACATCATTTCACACTCAGGTGGGCAAAGCTGACAAACATGCAGCTGTTCACAGCAAAGCAACCTGGAAAGCTGAGTGGTCGGGGTTCTTAAAATATTTTGAGAGAATATGAGTAAGGGACTATTCCAATCTAAAAATCCCCAAGTAATTTCAACTCTACGTCCTTCACCGACCACCACCCGTCGGTGACCGTTTTTACCTTCCAAGCCTCTCAAACTTCCCTGCTCCTCCAGGCCTCCACGACTGCAGCCCGTACCACCTCTGACAGGAATCTGGCGACAGACTCCTAACAGACTTTTCTGCTGCCTTCTCCTCCTCCCCCCTCCACAGCCCTCAGCCCCAACTCCAGAGAGGACAAAGCAGACCCTCCTGGGGTCCAGAAGCACCCCCAGGATGAAGAACCCCAGACTCCAACTGCTCAGTATGGCCCACGCGTCTTTCCCCACAGAGGCTTCGTGCTGCCCGCGCCTCCCACTCGCTGGCCGCCGCGCGGAGCTGCGGCAACCAGGCCACCACCGGGCAATCTGGGGGCCTGGTCCTTGAGCCTCGCTGCACACCCCCGACACAAGTTTACAAAATCACGCAGCCCCCTTACACATTTTTAAGCTGACATATAAAATTTTTCTCAATAAATTTAATCGTCACAAAGGATGTACCAGAATATTGTGAATACTAACTTTTAAAATAAAACTCTTACAACCCTTTTGTAATACACCCAATGGAATTTATATACCGTACCGATTTGACACCCATCATCATTCATTTAAATAACACATAAACGAACTCTTTAACTTGGAAATTTTACAGCATCTTTTTCTTTTTAAACTTGTATTTCCATCTGATTTTTCCCTACAGATTTTTGTCCTAATCTAATTGTTTCATGCTTGAAAGTCTTTTATTAATCACCTGATCATACTTCTTGGCCACAAAAATAAGTATGCAAAGTGAAACACTTTTTGAAATTTAGAAAGTTGAAATGAAAATATTTTAATTTCTTGAGACCATAAGGCTCTAATTAAAAAAAAATGACTTCTGGATTGTATTATCATTACAATTATTAGTAGGAAACAATCAAAATATGCAATAATATAATCAAATGTATTATAATTTTAGTAAAAATTTAATATACATAAATATGTAAAGTTCCATTTCCAGTGAAATGCATCTCTGAATGATACAGATGAGACCTTCCCTCCATTCGTTCATGTATCCATGGAGGAATATTATTTACTGCTAGAAGGAAAGAGCGTTCAGCATCGATTCTCTTCCTACTTTTTGGATTTGTAGACTTAAGTGCTGAGAAACCTTGTCATGTAAACAAGTAGATGGGAATGGGAGAGTTCTGTTACAATAATGTCACTCAATTCTTTTAATTCCTTCTGAATTATATGCCCCCTAAAAAAGTCACATAGTGATCTACCACCCAAAATTTGTTTTAATGATCTACCAGCTGACAACTGAATTAGGTTCTCCTGCAAGTTTGTTGCAAATAAAGAGCCAGGAACCATCTGAGCCGCAGGGACTGTTATCCAGTCCGGAGGCACTGCCCTCCTCAGTCCCCGCGCCAACCTCCGAACTGTCCTTCTGTTTGGTGCCCTGGAGGTCTTCCCACTCCGGGGCCACGTCCCATGTCAGAGTAAGGAGGGGCTCGAACTGGGCTTCGTGTCAGGTGGGAGACAAATGTGAAAGGCCCGGGGAAAGGAGAACCTCGGCTGCAGCCCAGAACATTCTCAGCAGATCCACTTCAGGAGCGAGCACACATCTGGAAATGGACTCCTGACAACTCTGTGTCTCCCTTCCTTCCCCCGGGAAGTGTCTGCGCTCCCCAGGCTGAGGATGAGGCCTAGGGAGAACTGAGGTCTTCCCTAAACCCAGACAGGTGCTAGATCTGGTGCCGATGCTCTGGGCAAGGTAAAAGCATCTGAAGAGATGCAGAACATGTCCACACCCTTTACCCCATCCTAAGGAAAACAAACTAAAACTGAAACTAGGTAACAAAAAGCCATGTGGGACAGAGGCTCAGACTGCCTTCCGCAGCAGGACACCCCCCCCCGCCCCCCCGCCCCGGCAGCAGCACTCCTAACCCCGATTTAGCCACGCGGAGAAGCTCAACTATCAATCCTTCAGGTTAACCTTGTCTCCGCCTGATCTTCCAGGGTAAGTGTATAGTTTAATACTTGAGGTCACCCTAAGGCTATGCATAATGAACTTGGTTTTTTTAAAAAAAAATACATAATTCCTGCTCCCTATCACATTAAGAATCAAGATTTGAATCACTGAGCTGAAATGCCTTCCCCTTTCCTACCCCTCCCCCACACTTCTGGCCTCGATGGCCAGTGGGAATGTCCACTGTAGAAACGTATTAATGTTGGTATCATGCAGGAGAACAGCCTACGGAGTAATTAACACTACTTGGACCTAAGGTAGAAGGTCGATAGCAGGGGCTCTTCCTTGAATTAAAATTTAACTTACCCTTTATTGCAACCTACAAAAGCAAGTAACGAGCACTAACATTTTTATTTCTTTTAAACTGTCATTTAGGCTGTAGAGGGGATAATTACCTATCTCTAGTGTAGTAAGGTTTTATAACCCTTAGTGAGGCATTTTCTAATTTAATATTTTTACTATATTATCATAAAACCTGTTTCTGGAAAAAAAAATGATCATGGATTAGGAGCCATTTTCCATAAAGACAGAATGTGCGAGTGTGTGTGTGTGTGTATTAGGATTCGGCTTATTTATTATGTGATTCTTCTGAAGAGACTTCAAGTCTGCAGTCTAGCTGGCTGTGAAATGCAATCACTTGATGGCGGGCAAGGCTGTACACAGCCCTAAATGAGAGGAGGTGGACGTGTCTGACAATGCAGCCCAGACGTGTGCACCCAGACGTGTGCCCTTTGGCTGCACACGTGCACCTCCTCACCGGCCACAGCCCACCCAGTGTCTTT